TTATAATTTGATTGAATTTCTTTCAGTTAAAGTATTCTATTAGAGTATCATCTTTGGTATCCTAAATAGTTTTATCGTCGGTACTCCAGAGTACCTTTTTTTCCATTGTGTCTGTTAGTACTTTGGTCCTAACTGTTTATAGTTTTTTTTTTTCTACTTATAGTCAACACTCACTTTCGCATCCTAAAATGACTGGAAGATGCAACAAAAGCATTTGCCACCGCCCAGGATGTCGATATCCTGTTGATAGCGGCATGTAGTGCGATGAGTGCAAAGGTTGATACCACGATGTTTGCACGAATCTAACACCTGCAGCTTTCAAGCGGTTTAGTAAAAATGGGTGTGTATGGCTATGTCAACAGTGCTGTTTGGATGCAAATAGCCTGCTAACCGAGGCCATTTCAATAGTAAATGCCGCAAAAAAGTGTCTCGGCAAGCGCGGTCGGGATACATCAGTCAGAACTCAATTTGTCGACATGCAGATTGACACAAGGCAGGCCCAAGTGAGTCCAAAAACTGCCGACCCACACCCTACTAAGGAGGAAGAACATCCTCCAAAGAGGACTGTTACAACCAGAAACTCGCGCAAAAAAGTCTCTTCTGTCCCTCGTATCAAAAATGGTACCCAGAAGGGAACTTCAGGAAGCCGAAACCGCAAGGCTCGATCGGTTTCCAGTGCGAAAGATGACCCGATCTCCCAAGTCGTCCTGACTCTTCCGGAATCCCACAGTACGCCTGACGCGAATGTGGTTACCACTCCAAAGAACGTTGGCGATTTGGTACGGGTCGTAAGAAAAAAACGCCAAAATGACGTAAAAGGAAATCATACCCCCACCAAAAGGGTCGACAAGCCGAGGTCTGATCACAGCGACAGATCAGTCATTCTTTATAGAGTCAAGGAGAGTGACAACTTAGAACCGAAAGCTCGTTTTGAGCATGACATTGTGTTGATAAAACAACTAATCAACCAAGTTATGCCCAAAAACATCCCCGGAGTCACCTTGCTAAAGGTGTATAGACTAGGAAATCTAGCGCATCTGAAACCAAATCAGTCTAGACTACTCAAAGTCGTTTTCAAATCCTCAAACGAACGCGACTTAATCTTAGAAAATGGACACAAATTAAAGGGTTCAGGAGTTTTTCTCCGTAAGGACTTACCGTTGGCGGACCGTGTTAAAAGACGGGAAGCCGAAAAGGAATTACAGCTCAGATTAGACGCTGGCGAAAAAGACCTGAAAATTGTAAATTTTCGGGTTGTGAGGCTTCGACAGAGGATGATGCCGAAGCCACTCTGGGTGAAGCACGAGGCCACCTAAATAGGCTTCGGATCTGTTATACCAACGCCCGGAGCTTACTAAATAAGCTACCGGAACTAGGTGTACAGATTGACTCAACTAGGCCAGACATAATCGCAGTCACAGAAACATGGCTGACGCCGTCTATAGATAGTAGGGAACTTGATTTCGAGGGTTTTACATTGGTAAGGGCCGATATAATACAAACGCGTAAAGGAGGGGGAGTAGCTCTATTCATTAGGAATGCTATTCCATTCACCATTATCGACAGTGTATCCCATGAGAGTGGGACGTATGAATTAGTTTGCTGCCGCCTGAAATGCAGGGGACAAGAGTTACTACTTAGTTTGATCTATCGCAGTCCAAGCTGTGAGGCAAACGAGGTCCTGCTAAGCAGTCTCAACACTTTATCACGAAGTGATCGATGTCTAATCCAAGGGGACTTCAATGCACCCATGGTGGACTGGGGAAATCTGCGGACTGAATCGTCAGCAAACTCCTTCGAACAGGAACTAGTTGATGTGATAATCACATGTGCTCTAGTGCAACACGTGAAGGAAGCAACTAGGTACGACCCGGGTTCTGCATCATCCTTACTAGATCTTATATTGACTCATTATGAGGATGATGTTGCAAACCTGGATTACATGCCACCCCTAGGCAAAAGTGATCATGCAGTTTTAAGCTTTGACTTCCATATAACTGTCGATCACGAGTACGCTTCAGCTCAATCCAGACCTAACGTCTGGAAAGCAAACATAGCAGACATCATGAAATCAGCATCATTAGTAGATTGGAAATTAGATCCAGAGTCATCAATCGAAACGGCTTGGGACGTATTCCGGAATTTATACTTAAAAGTTACCACCCCCCACATCCCTTGGACTACACCTAAGAGACCGAGAAACTCCCCACCGTGGTTCAGTAGGGAGGTTCGCATCCTTCTCCGTAAAAGAAAGAAAATGTCGGACAGATTTAGGTTACTGGGGACTGACGAGGCGAAATCTCAGTATCAAAAGGCTCGAAATACCCGTGCCTCGACCCTCCGTAAGGTCAGAAAGCTCTACGAAGAGAAAATCGTTAGGGAATCCATAGAATGCCCTAAACGCTTGTATTCGTATATAAACCAAAGGACAAAAAGAAGAAGAAATGTTCCTTCATTATGGGGAGACAGTACTGCCACATCACTAGTGGAGGATGACTTTGGCAAAGCTCAAGTATTCTCTAAATACTTTAGCGATGTATACACCATAGAAACACCCTTCTCACCAGTCCATGAAAATCCACCCACACAAGCACTGGACAGCGTAACCATTAAAGAACTCGATGTCTTTGGTCTGCTAGTTAAGCTTGACATAGGTAAATCCACTGGACCCGATGAACTGCATCCTAGGTTATTAAAGGAATTAGCTAACTTTGTTGCGAACCCTTTAAGTGTATGTTTTAATCTATCCGTAACCCAGGGTCGTCTACCAAAAGACTGGAAGAACGCCATAGTAAGTCCAGTCTTCAAAACAGGTACAAAACATAAGCCTGAGAATTACCGACCAATTAGCCTAACTAGTGTGGTTGTTAAAATCTTAGAAAAGATTATTCGTAAGGAACTGTTAAAGTATCTCGATGAAAACCGGATCCTCTCCGAAAAGCAGCATGGTTTTAGAACAGGTTACTCTTGTCTCACAAACTTATTAGTCGCTCGTGAAAGCTGGTGCGCTCTTAAGGACCAAAAATTACCTATAGACGTAGCTTACATCGATTTCAGCAAAGCTTTCGACAATGTTCCGCATAACCGGCTGTTATATAAGCTAAGGAATGTCGGGATTGGAGGCAATCTATTGATGTGGATAAAAGACTTCCTAGTTGGGCGTCAACAAAGAGTAAGGGTGAACTCCAAGTTGTCTAGCTGGGAAACTGTGCTTAGTGGAGTCCCCCAGGGTACAGTTTTGGGGCCAGTGTTATTCCTCCTGTACGTAAATGATCTCCCTCGTCTACTATCGTCATCGGTCTTACTCTATGCTGATGATGTCAAGATATGGAGAGCGATACAAAGCAAGAGCGATAGCTTAGAACTTCAAAATGACCTGGAGAGATTATCTGAATGGTCCCAAACCTGGCAATTGCCGATAAACACTTCCAAGTGTATTGTGATGCATATTGGCCATCAGGGTACAGATACATACACGATGAATAACACTGAGTTACCTATTGTTCAGGCACACAATGACTTAGGCGTCATCGTTAGTCAAGACTTAAAGACTACTGCACACTGCCGTGCAATAGCCGCCAAAGGTTTTAGGACTTTATGGTCCATACGCAGGGCTTTTAGGCATCTCGACGCTAAAACGTTTTTGACTTTGTATACAGTGTTCGTACGCCCTAAACTTGAGTACTGTATACAAGCAGCTAGCCCCTGCCTAAAAAAAGACAGTGAACTCTTGGAAAGGGTTCAGAGAACAGCTACTAGGCTGATTCCCGGAATAGCGAAGCTCCCGTATGGTACTAGACTGACCAAGCTAAACCTATTCCCGCTGTCATATAGAAGAATCAGAGGTGACTTGATTATAGTTTTCAAATTGCTAAATGACAAATTTGCACCTGATATGCCCTCATTTTTCTTGTCTTCCTAAACAGAAAATCTACGAGGACACTCCAAAAAAGTTCACAAGCCCAGAACGAATTACTTGTCAGCTGACTACCGACTTTCCCATCGAATAATCAACGAGTGGAATTCATTACCTCAGCACGTGGTTGAGGCTCCATCCGTCGACTCCTTCAAAAGAAAGTTGGATCAGCTGAGAGACCATCATTGCCAGGACTAACACAGGCCATCAAGCCTCCTGTCCTTTCCAAACTGAAACTGAAACTGATATAGTTCGTAATTTCAATAAAATTCAACAATCTCCACAATCCTGTACTTATGAATGCTATATGCTGACTAATGACTAGGTCCGAGAGAAAATTCCTAAGGTTGTAGTGTGAAACCATACCAGTGAACTCCATCTACATCTAGTGTGAAGAAGACAGCGGATTATAATCGGGTAATGTCGTTAGTTCAGTGATCTATAGTTTGAGAGTTCATGTACGAAATCAAAAGTCGTAGGTTCGACTACCGGTTCCGGGATTGTAGATCCACACAACTAAGGAATTCCATACTAGTAAATATTTAATAAATAAATCTAGGGGAATTCACAATATAATTACTGTGAAAGATGACAAATGAACTGTATAACTTGAAACCTGTAGACAGGGGTGTTATGTTGTGGGGAAAAAACAACCTTTTAAACAGAAGTTTAACATTTTAAAAAAATTTTATATTTTCCATGGAAATAAATCATTCTAAAAATCTATAAAAGTTTCTTTTCATCAATAAAAAAAATTCTGTACAAAACATAATATCAATAATAGTTTCTATGTACAAACAAAATAAACTAAATTTTTAAAAAAAATATTGATCCTTTATTCTTAGAAAAAAACTTTAATTTGTTTCTGTGAAATATGAAAATAATTTCTCTAAATAAGATCTTTAGAAAATACGGTATAAGGCATTTTGGAAAGAAAAAAAGGAAAAGAATCCTATTTTCCCCTTCAAGATGTTTCTGCGTTATAATTTAAACTACTTATATTAATAGTTAAGTAGTGTAATTCTGAAATCGGAAATAAAATTATAAAGAAAATAAAAAAAGGCGTATGATATGAAATATACATTTAAAATTGAGATTTATTCATCATTTGTAAAAATGTCTGTTCATAATTATTAATACTTTCATTTATATTAACATTATTATTATGCATAGATGGATTATTATTTTTATCATGTACATTATCAGAATGATATGAAGTGATTGGTGAAATTAACAAATTAGATTGATTCCAATCTGTAATAGAGTTTGGATAAAAGATTGTTGATGGACTTAACAATGAACTATTACTGCTATAATTTTGAAAATTCATTAAAACAGGATTGAAATCTATATTCCATGAATTTGGAGTAAGTAAATGTTGGTTATTCAATAAAGTAGGTTGTGATATTTTATCATAACCATTATTACTACTTTTATTATTATAAGTAGTAAAATCAGTAGGACTTAATAATTTCATTTGTTCATTTGATGTAACAACTGGACATTTTAACTCGTCTGATAAAGATGATGACGATGATGAGGATGATGAAGATAATAATTGATTATGATCTGATTGATCATGGTTACTTGATTCATTGATTGATTGTTCTTGTTGTTGTTGCTGATGCTGTTGTTCATGATGATGTTGAAGGAATGAAGACGATTGTTGTTGACGTTGTAATTGAATTAATATTCTAGGATTAATTTGTAGTGTATTCGCTATTAAATTTGATGTATTCTGTGAAAGACCTTCAGTTAAATTGATAGCCATCTCTAATGGTGTAGGAGTTTTATTCATTAATAATAATTCAGATAATGTTTTAATATAATTTTTAGCTAAACGTAATGTTTCAATTTTACTTAAACGTTGAGTTGTTGAAAATGTTGGTATATGTCGTCGTAGTAATTCTAAGGCATGATTTAATCCATGCATACGACTACGTTCACGAGCATTTGCACGGATACGACGATTTTTTAAACGTGTTTCACGTTCTTTTGTTAAGGGTTTCTTTTTAGGTCCACGTTTTTTAGGTTGTTTAACTGGTGTTGTTAATGGGGAATCATAATGAAAAGGATGATTTAAATGATTTTTTGTTTCTATGGTATTCAGCGAATCAATATTTTCATTGATTTCTTTATTGATTAATTGATTTTTACATTTGGTCGAACTTTTCACTTTGTTCTGGACAGTAGTGGATTGTTTAGCTAAAAAAAAAGGAAAGAATGAATGAATGAATAAAAACAATCCAACTAATTGATGGTAATACAATTAAGATTATGAAGTGATTGTTTGTAGCTTAATATCAAGATTTTAAAGGTATTGTATTATTTGCACCTGAATCTCAGAGTTGATTTTCACTCTGGGACTCGAATCTAGTACTGTTCGTTTTAAACACTATTGCGTTATTCACTTAGCTACTGAGTCCTAATAGCCACTTGCTTGTGCAATGGGCTGACGTTTAGATTCACTTGGTATTGTTTGTTTTGAATCTTTCCATTGATATTTAAAACTGTAATTGATCAGTCTCTTAATGGATAACACGATGGCTTTGAAGTGAAAGGTACTGGGTTCGAGTCCCGAATCGAACATCAACTCTGAGATGCGGGTACATCCATCTAACGAGTCCCGAATAGAACGAAACACTCGTCCTGGATTCCACTTCTAGCCAGTATCTATCTTTGTTTATCATGTTTGTGGCTTAAATCAATATCAAAACAATCTTCATTGAATGCACATATACCAATAAAAGATGAATTATAATCAAGAGGGTTTCAAATCTCACTAGGCGAGATTGTGGATGCGCACTGTTGAGTAATCTCACAATATAACGAAACAGCCCTCCAGTGCTTTCAGGTTTTCCTTGATGGTCTAATTTCAATTGACTCATGCTTTCAACTATAGAAAAATGAATTCATTGAAATCGTAAACATCAATAAGAAGATCAAAAATAAACCATACCAAGTAAATTTGTTATCAGTTTATATTTTTTTTTTTAACAATAGAGCAAAAGTAACAAAATGACTTCAAATCTATTCTGATCATATTTTATTTACTATGCTTTATACATACATACATACATACATACATACATACATACATACATACATACATACATACATACATACATACATACATACATACATACATACATACATACATACATACATACATACATACATACATACATACATACATACATACATATACTCCTTTTATTTCTAAATCAAAATTGACATGTGTGTTGTATTAACTAGTGATGACTTCAGGCTAACCTTATCCTTTTATGGTTAACAACACTTTTACCCCCACTTTACTCATTCTCATTTGACTTCTTTTATTCATATTTATCTATGAGGTGAATATATTAAAAGTTTTTTTTTCATTATGTATATCCGTTTTTTTTTCTTCTTATTGTTACTTATTAGTTTATTAAGACATGGTAAATTCATGAACAGATGTCTATGAATTTAAACAAAAATGAATGAGTTGTACTCATAGTCACCTCTCACACACACTCTCTCTCTCTCTCTCTTCCTCCCTTCTCCCCCACTCTCGTTCGCTCGCTCACACACACATATATATATATAGCACCCCTTTCAAATATAAATCATTCTTATATTTAGTCTGGATCCATTTGAATTTTTAATTTGATTTCCTTTTTTTGGTTATTTATTGTGTATATCAGACAGAAGACAATAAATTGGAAGAAAGAAGAAAAAAAGAAAGAAAGAAATGAGTAAAACACAAAAGAAGCCCAATAATAATGTGATCAGTATTGATGGTTGTGTATTATTCATAGACTAAAGATATAAGTTAACCTGGCATGACGAGTGATAAGTAATATAGACAAAAGAAAAAGAGAAGCTAATTGAAAAGAAAAGAGGAGGGGGATGTTTTATATTCTCGTTGAAACTTGTTTGTTTCTTTTTCTTTTCTTGTATGACTACAGTTCATCTAATAATGATGTTTATCAGAAGGGGTTTAGTGGAGATTTTAATAATTTTATGGAGTTGAGATCATAAGTCAATTGAAGCTAGATCCATAATAGGACGAAATGATCATCCAGTGCTTCCAGGTTTTCGATGGTGATCTAAATTCAATTGACTTATGATCTCAACTCTATAAAATTAATAATGATGTGTTCAATTCAGTCTATCTCTCTTCTTAACCTTGTTAAAAAGTTATTTTTTAATGAAGTAACTTCAGTGGATGCAGTCCTATACCAACTGGTAATCAGAAGTAAGTTAATTCATAATTCATCTACTCAATAGAGTAGAGTCCATGTACATTGGTGATTTGTAGTTATCATTTCTAAACGAACCGTTTGTATCTACTAAACCGGTTCACTTTTTCGTCCTCTCACTTTCTTAAATAATGCCCCTATTTTGGTGAAGTCAGGGAGTAAAATTTTTCTGAACGAACTATAAACACATGGATATATGATAGAATTTCAAGTGAGAGAGTAAACTTCCTTTGATCCTCTGTCGTACCAGGGTATTTCGGGCTCCGTAACAATAGATAATTCTTCATAATTAAACATTACAGTCCTTTTTATTTAAACTGAAAACTGTGTAAGCCAATATGCCATCGAATTATGTATAACCTCTAATTTTAACTTTATAACATTTCGAAAAAAATTGATTATTTGTTCTCTTCATCTAGCGGTTTGCATCCAAGATCAATCTTCGTCAGACAACTATCATAAACTAGAAAGCTATGAACTTCCATTTTGTCTTAAAATCAGACTTCTCATCCATGAAACTACCACAAAGGATCTAACCTTAATTCGTCAAGTTTCGAGTACAGCGCTTAATATTTAAACCATAAACAATAATTCAAATACGAATCATATTAGTTAACTAAGCTAATTATCTTATAACTAACACTTCCATACACTTAATTGCCAAAATTCCTGCTTTGAACTCATTTAATGTACACGATTCACGAGGGTCATCGGTATAAATAAATCCATACTATTGTAATGCTAGTATAACGATTTCTTATCATACACCCCTTTCATTAGTAGAATCACTAGGTAGTAACTAATGCCGAGTGAAATAAACGTGAATGCTAATCTGATTTTTCTGATGCAAGTGTCGAGTTGAATAAACCATTAAAGCGATGAAGTTTATTAAATTTGATAAGGTTACCAACACTTCCGCTGAAAACTTTATTTAACCCAGATTTTGAGTTCAGATGAGAGAAAAAAACCGTTTTTCCTTCATTCTACCCTAATTTGAAACAAAATAGAAATTACGCTCATTATACATACTTCTCACTTCGTAGAAACAAATGACTATCCATTCATCACATTGACAGTACAAATTCTGACGAATTCTATTCGCAAAGTTGACAGTGTCTATCTACGATTCCGAGACAGGGACTCGAACCCTGGACCTTCAATCTTCCGAGTAAACTCTTAACTTCTAGACCACTGAGTCAAGATCGAATATTGTACAAGTTCAACTTCAATCAATTCAAGATATTGTTCGACAATTTTCGATTATTTTTAGTGTATACCTTCATCATACTAGACACATTTGAACACCACTGGTTACAGCTTCTCTCTAGAATTGTGAAATTTTTCCTCTCAAAGTTACTTACTAGTGAGTACATAATAATTATCAGTACAAAGTTGGATAGAAGTATCGAGACAGTTATATGGAAGCAATCCTCATAAGATCTACACATATCAACAGAAATTCATCAACAACGGCAACATTCAAACCTTTACTGATACTAACAGATATGAGCACTGTCTAGACAAATTTCCAATTAGAAAATTAAAATAGATTTTATCCATCTTATGATTAGTACTATTACTCTCTAATCCATGTATTTTACATTTACACAGTACTTAGATACTTATGATAAGTAATCAAACTAGATTATGGTTAATATGGAATTGGAAATGGGAAAGAAAGAGGGAGAGAGAGGGGGGAAACGAAGGCAGACAAACACGCATATCTAATCATGTGATGAAAAATGACTTTCATACTCAACCAGGTGTCTTTAAAATCAGACACCTACACACACACACACACTACATATATCTATTAATGAGCACATGTAAAAATACATAAACACTAACCACCACCATCACCCTCATCCGTACACACACACATACCTATTTACACACAAGTTAAAAGAGAAAGAATCCAACAAGCAACCTTAAGTTAAGTCCATCTTCTACTGATAATAATTGATGAAGATCGTCTTTGAAAAAAAAGAGCCTGATAGGTGAAAGTAGGAAAATGAATTATTAATGTAAAATAGTGTCGTAGTAATGTTCTTACACCCCCCCCCCTTATTAAACCCAGTAATTTGTCTCAACTTTATCAATGTTAATTGAGTAGATAAGAAATACGAGTTACTGAAATGTTTTTGTTTTTTTCTACACACTTTCTAAAGAGAAAAAATCGATAGTAGTTCGGTGTTTATAGGTAAAATGAATAAAATTGCCTCCTCTTTTTTCAGTTACACTTTGATAAATAGAATACATTCAGAAAACAATACATGAAATGACAGTAAATTCAATTCCCTGATGCGGATTAGTGGATGGGTACTGTCATTGAGGTATCCCATCCTAGAACGAAATAGATGTCTAGTGCTCCTAGGTTTTCAATAGTTGTCTAACTTTAATCAATTTTGTGATTTTAATCAAATGAAGTGTGTTGGAACAATTGTGATTGAGGCTATTCACAACATTTTCAATGTTCATTAAAATGTGTTGTATCTGGTACTCTTGGTCATTTTCTTGTAATATTTAGTGGGAGGGGTCGCTCACCAGCACTCTGTCTTGGGCAATCCTTACTACTTGTTTCCAGTAGCTATTCATCCTTTTTATGTCTGTTTACAATTCCCGACGCAGTGTATTATTTGACCTTCATCTTTGCCATTTCCTTTCAGGATTTCAAGTTAACGCTTGCTTTGTGATGCAGTTTCATGCAGTTTCCACAATGTGTATCATATTCACTTCCAACGCCTTTTACTAATTTCCTCCTCAGCTGGAACATGATTTTTCCTCTCCCACAGTGGGTTGTTGATGGTATCGGACTAACGGACATTGAGTATCTTGTGTAGAAAACTATTTAGAAATATTTGTGCCTTTTTGATGATGGTTGTAGTAGTTCTCCACGTTTCAGCTCCGTACAGTAGGACTGTCTCGACGTTCGTATTGAAGATTCTCACTTTGAAATTAGTT